AAAAAAAAGTGTTTCACTTGAATTCATATTTAGATATTTTATCGTGGAATTGATAAATGATTTCAAATTGGCCCTTTTATCCTAACTTTTGAATGTTTCATTACTGTAGCAATGATTATGAGTGATACAAGCAGCTCCCAGTTTTGAGCGCTTGTTTTATTCTAGGCACTATGCTAAGTGTTTATATGTATTAGCTCATTTAATGCGTAGTACAGCTCTACTAAAATTAACAAAGGAAATTTAAAAAAAAAATTTGAAGCCTGTGTCCCTTTTTCAGATATTCTGTTTTAATTGATGAAGGGCTATAGCATTGGGATAAGCTCCTTGAGTGATTCTGATACACCAAAGTTGGGGACCACTGTTCTAGACCATATTGTGGGTAACTTCTTGAATTATTTTGTGAGAGTATGTAAGTTTGGAGTTTAGACCATACTTAAAATAGACTGCAATAATCCTGGGTCAAACTTGAGTAAATGTTATACTAAAAGTAACATGTTACAAATGACCTAGATGTGTGATGCATTTTAAAATTTTTGGTCATGTATTGTTCTACTGATAGAAAATGGTTCACTATACATTTAGAAAATTGGTTTCTTGACTTTTCCATAGTTTCAGCCTATTAGGGGTAATTGTTATTTGCAGACATTTTTTTTTTGAGAATAAAATTTGCTTGTCTTTTTGTCCAAGATGTTTTTCATTTAAAAAAAAATTGTTTGTTTGCCTGCATTCTTGTTGTTGCCTGGAAGTCCTTGAATAGACAGTTGTGGGAACTGGAAAATATACCAACAATTTAGAAAAAAGCACAAAAATATCTGGTAACCCTTGGGCAATGAGACAGTGCTTTATAGTGATGTGTGCCTATTCTCCTGTAGCTGTTTATTTAACTGGAAGACATCTTTGAAAGAAATCTGGAATGATGGCCCATTTCTAGAGAGGAGTTTGACATTTAAAATTTTAGGTAATAGCTAGACATACAAAATATCAGACTTAATATTTATAATACAAAACTAGTGAGTGATAACAGATTTATGAGTTACTTGCATTGATGGTAAGTATGGGTAGTAAGGTCTGAGTCCCTGAGTTTGAATACTTGCTTCATCCCTTATTAATTATAAAATTRTGGGTAAACTTTTTAACTTCTTTTTGCCTCTGTTTCTTTATTACCCCATTGGCTGATCATGGGGATTAAATAAGTTAAAAACCTATAAACATTTTCAGTAGTACCTGTCATATAGTCAGTGCTCATGTTAGAAATAATAACATCTGAGTAAAGCTGCTAATTTTTTGAAAGTATTTTCATGATATAATATATAAGTTTCATTTTTGTTTCTGGGATTGAAATTAAAACAATATTGCCATGCAAGAGTCTGAAATACTTAGGGTGAGATACAGACACACAATATAATGGTTGCATTAATGATTAAATTTTTATTCAAAATATAGATTTATGATTAAGAGAAACAATTATAGTTCTACATAAAGAATAGGTTGTATGTATTTATTCTACCTGGATATATATTGTTAAATGACTAAATAAAGATGTTTTAGTTTTTATGTATAAATATATACACAGTATATCTGTATAACTTGTTCCTGTTTTGTTCCCTCTTTRCCCTTTATATTTTGATTTTTAGGAATTAAGTAAAAAATCCTGTTGATGGTAGGACTTTAAAAATAAGTCTCAAGTAAGTCACTAAGACCCACAATACTTTGAAAATTATGACATATTAATATTTGTTTGTTTTTCAGTAGAGGAAGATGAAACCTCAGATCATTTATGCATCCGTTTGACAACAAATGATAAATAGGATACCAAATCATTACTGTCTTGTTTTAGATGCTCCAGTTCTAGAATAACGTGGTAAGCACAAGGACAACAACCTCTAACGATGAAAACATGTTAAAGGAATCTCAATTTTCAGATTATTTCCCCAAGAGACAATGTTTAAATTTGTAGAAATTTTCTGTGACCAAGAATGTGATGCTTTGTTTTCAGTAACTTAGGAAATGTGGATCACCAACTTTCTGTATCTTGGAAATATTTTGTTTGGTAACAGTCCTTTGAGGTTGTGGTTTCAAAGTCAGTGGATATCATTTGACCTTAACCTACTGATATTTTTCAGGTGTCTTTCTTACTAAAATATTTGTTTCAGTGGCTACTTTGCAGAGTCATAATTGCAACTGTGGTTGCTGAATAGAAAGTGCTTGTAGGACTGATGTTTATTTAAAGGATATAAAGGAGAGATCAGACTTAATCTGTTCTTCTCTGTCTTTAACTCTGCCGTTATATTTTTCTTTCTTTTATTTTATTTTATATCTATTTTTCATTTGATTTTATATTTTTGTTGTTAATCTTTATTTTTATTAGTATATATTAGTTGTACATATTAATGGGATTTAGTGTTGTATTTCCACACGTGCATATAGTATGCACCTACCAAATCCAATTTCTTTCTACCCCTGCCCTCAACACTCCCAGACTCTTGCCATCTCTATTGTACATTTAGGTTGACTTTTTTCCCCCTCTTAAATTTGTGGATATTTCTGACAGTCATGAACACAGTTATCGAGTGGGAAGGAGGATCCATATTTTGTCATTGAAGTTACTTGGGAACTGGAATTTGTTTTATGTTTTAAAAATGTTTTAGAAAAAAATGTTTTAGTTACAGATAATAGTGGGGTTTAGTTACAGATAATAGTGGGGTTTAGTTACAGATAATAGTGGGGTTTAGTTACAGATAATAGTGGGGTTTAGTTACAGATAATAGCGGGATTCATTTATTTTAATATAATCATAAATGCATGGACTATAATTGGCTCCATTTCCAACACTTCCTCTTTCTCTTCCTTTCTCCCCTCCTTCCCTTTTTCCTCCTTCACTGCTTGTCTTTTTTCTATTTATTTATTGTCTCTTTAGTTGGTGCTTTAAAGCAAAATTTGGTCAATTTCTTTCCACAGTTTCTCCCTTTTTCCATCCCTTCTCCTTCTCCTTCTTCTATCTCTGTCTTCTAATGTACTAATCTATCTTCTATTTTTTATGCAAAAAAGAGTTCTTCACTTTTTTCCTTATTTGGCTATAGCTTCTGTATATGAGAGAAAACATTTGACCTATGACTTTCTTTTTTAATTGATTTTAAAAAAATAAATGACAGCAGAATGCATTACAATTCTGTTACACACATAAGCACAGTTCTCTGGATCTCTGGTTGTATATAAAGTATGTTGACACCAAATCGTGTCTTCATACATGTACTTTGGATAATGATGTCTATCACATTCCACCATCCTTGCTAACCCCCTACCCCTTCCCTTCCCCTCCCACCCCCTGCCCTATCTAGAGTTCATCTATTCCTCCCATGCTCCCCCTCCCTACCCCACTATGAATCAGCCTCCTTATAGCAAAGAAAACATTTAGAATTTGTTTTTTGGGGATTGGCTAACTTCACTTTGCATTATCTTCTCCAATGCCATCCATTTACCTGCAAATGCCATGATCTTATTCTCTTTTATTGCTGAGGAATATTCCATTGTGTATATATGCCAAACTTTCTTTATCCATTCATCTACTGAAGGGCATCTAGGCTCCACAGTTTAGCTATTGTGAACTGACTTTCTGAGTCTGGCTTATTTCACTTAACATAATGTTCTCCAGTTCCATCCATTTACTAGTGAGGCTGTTGTGAATTGTGCTGCTATAAACATTGGAAAATGCTGCTTTTAGTTMTTTTGGGTAAATAACAATAGTGGAATAACTGGGTCATATGGTAGTTCCATATCTAATCTTTTAAGGATTCTCCATATTGATTTCCAAAGTGGAAATTACTAATTTGCAGTCCCACCAACAATGTATAAGTGTTCTTTTCTCCCCACATCTTTGCCAACCTGTATTATTATTTATATTATCAATGACTGCCATTCTAATTCTGATGAGATGAAATCTCTATATCGTTTTGATTGAATTTCTCCCATTGCTAAGGATGTTGAACTTTTCAAAAATATATGTGTTGGCCTTTTGTATTTCTTCTTTT